GTGTGTGTGTGTGTGTGTGTGTGTGTGTGCGGGTGTGTGCATAAACACTTAGAATCATTTCACCGGCTGTCGTTCAGTAGCACGACAAATTTCAGAGTACGTTAGTGCATAATATCCACACAACCTCGACCTGGGCACTTCAGATAAGTGGAGGACTGAGAGTCAGGTTTGCCAGGACTCCTTCTTAGTACTACTTTCATGGCACTCTCACGCACGTAAAACTTGTGTCTCCTTTACCGGCTATGGGAACCAGGTCATGTCTGTCACGCGTGGGCGGGCTTTGTCACCTACTGTCATTGCGCCGACCTCCGGTCGTCATAAAACCGGACCCAGATGGGCGAGGGAAGAGCGAGTGCAGCAGGCGCTGTAAAAGTCTCTGCCTCACTGTAAAATAATTCGTGCACCGACCATCAGTGCTGCGTCTACCCGCATGAACTCACAGTAAACGTCACTGCTGCAACGATTAAACTGTCAATTAGATATGCGTGCATGTATGGCTGCAGAAGATATTTCAGTTAGTATCAGTCAGTATATTTGGAGTAAATGACCGAAGCCCTTAAAAACTCCATTTATCTCTGAGTTTCTATCCATTAATGTACCGAATGTTCGAAGTGGATTTGGCCGATTTGACCATATTGTCGGACCGAGTAGAGACGCTCGGCTGTGTTTAGAAGCCCCAGTCAAAAGCCGTTGTAGGTAATCGCATAGTGAGAAAGTAAATACGGTAAGAAAAATTCGTCACCGAAGGCTCAACAATTGCTAATGAAACGCATTGGTCCTTGGAGCTCATTCTCCAGCCCAGTCCGCAGTCGTACATTGGCTAGTAGCATAGGCAGATGAACGTTGCAGACAAATACAAATGAGACTGGAGTGGTCATTTCTGGTTCAGTTGTTAGAGCGTTGGGCTTCTGATCAACAAGTCGAGAGTCTGAACCTCTGGTGGTGCACCACCTAGGTTAGGGTATGACTAGCTGCTGACTAACACGCCAGAAATGGCCATTCCAGTCACCTTTGTCTTTGTCGGCAATGTTCACATGACAGGGAACGTCCATACTGGTTAAGAGGAGCTTAGCTTTTATTCGAGCAGCCCGTTCTCAATCGCCCTCGCATTTGGCTACTCAACCATGTCCTCTATTTGACCTTTCAACTGAAGGTCACAAAGTGACCCTGGAATCGTTTTGCATTACCTTACGACGGCCGTCTCGATCGAATACTGTGAGAAAAGAGAAGCCAGGTCGGTAATAGTTAAAGTGGTCGCCCATTTTAGATACCCCTAGTCCCAGAATTCTGTCTAATGGGAGCGGTTGGATTAGTTTAGTTAGTTATTTAGTTTATAAGTTTAATTTTAACCTTACTTTAGTTAATTTGCTTTAGTTTAGCTTAGTTAGTTAGTTTAATTTAGTATCTAGTAGTTATTTAAGTATACTTATCTAACGTCGGTCGTATATAACTAAACTAGAATGTAAGCTAAACCTAAAGTTAAAGTACTTAACTAAATAATAAATCATACCACACTAATAAAACTAAAAGTAAACACATGACTAGGGGCTAGGGGTGAGCGACCAACTTAACTTTCATCACCAAGTCTTCTCACAACGTCACTTCAGCACAGAACGCTGCCCTCCGCACGATCACGAGCTACTATAAAATGTCGCCTATCGATCATCTTCATGCAGAGGCTTCTGTCCTGCCGGTTGCCCCTCACAACATCCTCCTAGGCCAGCCGTCTATTCGAGCTCTCCACAAGGAAGCCGTCGCCTCGTCTCTCTCGGGTCTAGCCGTTCACGGCTCTGCCACCAAGACAGGCTTCCAGCGTCTTCACCAGAGAGCCGTTGAAACGAGGTTATCACCCCACGGTCCTTTTGGACGGCTATCCACCTCCGATTGCGGCCTCAGAACAACAACTTCCGAGGGTCGCTCGCTGTACTCTAACTCAACTACGCAGTGGCTACCGAATGGTCCTTCGCTAGTACCAACACCGCCTCGACCCGT